AATAATAATAATAATAATAATAATAATAATAATAATAATAATAATAATAATAATAATAATAGTAATAATAATAGTAATAACAAATAGTAATAGTAATAATAATAATATATAAATGAAGTGTATGGCAAATTTTGAAGCCCAAAAAATAAAAATTTTTTTCAAATGAACGAAATTCAAAACATTCTTCGAACAAGTGCTCGGATGACAAAATTTGTTTATATCTGCATAAAAACTATGTGTGCAATCAAAAAACTAAAATCTCCATTAAATGAAGGGAGCAGCTAAAAAGTGAGAAAGCATATCCCTTGTCTAATTCCAAGATGAAAGGCAATTATTTCACTCGCCTTTGCAAAGATAATGAAGTACATCGTGAAAATGGAGAAAGCGGAAATTGTGGAGCTAAAGAAAGTCTGTTCGGAATCCGAACATAATTTAGTGACATCAAGAGAGCATAGTACTGAGAGCCTGAGCGATGAAGTACCTCTTTTGAAATGAACAACAGTGATGAAAAATTAACAAAATGATCTGAGCGGTTAATAATTCAATAAAATTTGTGTTGTGAAAGAAAGCCGGCAGAAACTTTCTAATGTAAGGTAAATTTATTAGACAACACATAAAAGTAAAGAAAAAAGAATTATTACGATAATTTCAACAGGCAACAGCAGTAAAAAAGCCTACCAAACTACCAAACAAAAAGGCTTCCATTTATACTTCTATCAAGAGTTCACAGTTTGAAGTTCAGCAAAAACAGCCAAAAAAATATAGCGTACACTTGTTAATTTTAAGACTAAAAAAGGAACTTTTAAATTTTTTTGAAAGACTTAGACTTAAAAACAGTTGAATAGCTTAACAAAGTAAATGCATAAGTTTCTGAAAGTCTGTTAAGTTTTCATGAATTTGTCAAATAACGAAGAGTATTCACAAGAGTATTTACCTTCCTTGTACCTATTTATTTTTCATCGTATTATTTCCCACATATACAGGATTTTTAAACGTCGTCGTTGCTTGTTTATAAATCGGATTCTCATTCTGAAATCAACAAACGTTTCGGTTCTGTCAATACAGCTTCCACTTTTTCCTTCTAGCTTTTTTACTCAGTGCCTTACCTTATATTCAGGGATGCATTCAGAACGAAAAACAAATAAAAAAAAAGATTCGCCAATATTTTTAAACGTTTTCAATATAAAGGAAAGTAAAACGCAACAAGTTCATCCTTTCATGTGTCAAGAACAGAAAAAAACTAAAAAGTGTTGGCAAAAGACATACAGTATCCCATTTCGCCAATAATCTTTCGCTATCAAATTTCGCAAATTCGGCACGATCGTGAAGAACAGTTAACAATTTCCATACCAAAAGCAGGATCAATCCCAGTATGACAATACCAGCTATGACACCAAGGACAATGGCAAGAACTGGTACTGGTGGTGGGCAATCTAAACTGGAACGACTCTTAGAATACTTTAAACAGCGAATTAAGACATGAGACAAAATTTTATGTAAACAAAGTCGCCATTTAGGATTTCATATAATTTGAACACGGGTGTACCTTTTTCTTCCTTCACCCATACGGTAAGATTATCAGTTCTTTGATCCTCGTAATAAAGGAAATAGAATGTACAGTCATCTGATGGATCCACAAATTGACATTCGGTTGTATCATTTAACACTGAAATATATTTGGTCATGGATAATTTTTAAAAAATGAAACAAAAACCATTTCTAAATACATCCTTTGACAAAAATCCAAGCACTGGTGCAACTTTCCCAATGTTTAGACTCCCAACGTTTACTGTAATGCAACCGGATTTTTTGTGTTGGCAATATGTGAACCTTGCCATGATCAAACGATGACCTGGTAATTCCTTAACAGGTATAACAGTAAAGATACACTCGTCACACTGAGTTTCATTGTACGGACCAGTTTGCCACTGTTGACACATCACACATGGTTTATGTTCAACACATTTTGATGGGCAAGTCTGAAAATTATTGGAATTCTGAGCAGTATTAGAGATTTAAGAGACCAGAGAGAAAACAGAAGTACATCTTTACTCACGCATAGCTTAAAATTACTAAGCTTGGCGGTTCCAAAGTATATATTCTGAAACAAATTTGAAAGCCTTCCCTCATTATCAAGATTTATTTTTTTGCTGTAATCCATTTTTTCGAATCAAGTTGAAAACAAAACTATGAAAATCTTGATTCGTTGAGAATACCAAAAAACATATCATTACTTTAACATAATTTTCTCTAAACTATTCCAGAAAGAATTTTTTAAACTCACAGGACATATTTCACATTTGGGACCCGAGTAACGATTGCCTGGACCATCACTGAAACAACGACAACGTCCGCAAATGCATTCCCCTTGTCCGTTACATACTTTACCATTCGCTGCCATACAGCTATCCAAGCTTAACGGACATTCACAAGCTCGGCCTGTAATAGTATTGTAAAAATGAATGTGAATTAACTTATTCGACTCGCATAATCAATTCACAGTATCATCAGATCAAAAAATCAGATCAAAAATTTTAGACAAAAATTATTCTTTAGTTACCAAACAAAGAAATAAGATTTCAAGAGATAAAATTAATTACCTGTCCAACCGGGCTCGCATGTGCACTGCCCACAATCACAAGTACCATGCCCAGCACAGATTTTACGATCATGTCGTGGGCAGTTGAAATTATCACATTCACAAAACTGACCCGAAATTTTCTCATTCATATTCTGAAAGGTTATTACAAACTGCTAGTATTTTTTTCCTCAGTTCTGAATTTTATGTCCAGTAATCTAGTGAGCACAGTACAGTTAAACCGATTAATAGTAAAGATGGGCAGTAAAAGATTAATGCAGAGAGAAGCGAGGAATTTCAACACCCAGAATGGAGTATTACAGAAAATGTTAAAGACAATCCACAGCAGCAAATGTTTCGTGCTCACAGTACATGCGCATGTCCCAGTACTGTAGAAATGAAATTTCACGACAAAATCCTTTTCCTTACTACAAAGTAAAAAGCAAAGACGCGAACTTACATCACGTTCAAAACATTCACAAACACCACAGTTGCAAACCCCTCGACCTTCACAAATAGCACTTTCATTTGTCCTGAAAAAAAATATAGGGATTAAGATATAGTTCTCAAAAAACTGAAAGATGGCAGGGCTACATGATGATACTGAACTCGTAGCTTTTCAGCACATGAAGTTTTACGTATTTTAAAATTTTGAATACTCTTCAACAAATTCTTAATTTTCAGTACTTTGACACCCCATCAGTGCAAAGCTGCGGAATAGTCACCCCAAGAATGTAATACCTATTACCTTTTACATTTTGCATCTAAAGCAACAGTTGAAAGGCCAGGTGCATCACATTCGCAATGTCTTCCGACATTTGTCCCATGACACATACAAATACCACAAACCAAATCACCTTTCCCATGACACACCGGTGAATTGTATACAACTTTCTGTAAAATTAAAATTCATTCGGGGATAATTCAGTCATACATAGAGAGAACGGTAGAGAGTAACTGTTTTTGATAGATCTTATCTCTATATAGTAGAACATAATGTGTAATGGATTTCGGTCCATGAATCATTTGCATTCTTGCTGATCTCAGCAGTATTTTGACAAAAATAAGCCAAATTTAATGAATGCAGATTCAAAAATTTTGGAATTAAAAAAACACTCACATCGGTTTCACAATCGCAATCACATTGCACATGAACATCAACTTGAAGGGTCTCATCAAGACCACTTGGTCCGATTTTCAAATCAAAGTCACGTTCCTTCACGCAATGCGTTGCCTCCAGAGTAACTTCGAACGAAACTTCATCACCGACTTTGATTCCATCACATACATTTGTTTCCTTCAGGGTATGCCCACTGGAAATAAGTCACTCTCCACTCGAGTTTGAGTTTGTAAACAGGCAAAAATTATAGCAGAATTAATAAACTGACTTTGCTGCGAGATTTTGGAAAGGCTCTTTCTCATTTAAAAATCGAACAAACCGGAAGGAACGGAAAATTTACTCTAAGCATCTGGAACGATACGACAGCCTTAGTCCTTGGCTTGCATTTGCATTATCAACCATAATGATTTTTTGGGAAATTTTATTATATTCCTCTTCGATAAGGGAAACGATGTTTCTAGAATCATCGGCCAATACACCAACCGAACTACTCACATCAGGTAACGCATCACTGAGCTTAAATTGCAATAAACACATTGGGTAAATAGCTGGCAAAAGTTAAAAGTTTCGAAAACTGAAAGCACAAAACTGAAAAACACCACAATTTGCAAGCAGTCAAGCGTAACAAATTCGTAGTAAAATGAAACCTACATTAAACACGATATAATAACGACTATTTGCAGAATGTTATATTAGCAGTCAACATATGGCTACAGTGAATCCAAAAAACAAAAAATCAGAATCTCGCACGTGTTGATTTTTACATAAAACTGTGCACCTTTGCTTGTTACTGGTTACATTAAATCACCCTATGCATTAATAAATAAATGAATTTTAGTTTGTTTTCTTTAATATGAAAATTTCCACCCACCTGTTTATAGAGATCTTTATTTTTCTCAGTAACTGCAAAAATTAAATTCGCCTTTCTTTCCTTGATTTTCTGATGCAATAAAGCAACAGAGGGATAATCCTGATCAAGAGATTTCGTATAATATCCTTGGTTATCCAAATGACACTGTCCATCATTCGGTACTACAACACCGGCCATCTAAACCAATTAAATTAACTGGACATTTTAATCGATTAAGACACTAAAATTTTGGAACACCTCAAAAAAAAACCTCATGTATTTCTCAAGTATTTCAAAAAGTCAGTTAAATAGAGATCTATGAAACAATAATGCAATCAGCAAATTTCAGAAAGTGAAAATTGATGTATATCAATGAACAATACATAGAAAAAAATACCCGTCCATCCCCTGCATAATGAAAACCAGCATCTGTAGAAAATACGATCATTTTTCGAGCACGTTCACGCCAACCAATACTGTTCTGGAACGTGTGAGATATTTGTGAGATCAAATAAACCTAATTAATACCAAAAATTCAAGCTTTGCATAGTCTTTGTCGGTTATTCCGCTTAACCGAAATGAATTGTCGTTTCTCTGTAGCAACGCATTACAATTCGTATTACGTGGTAACTACTCAACTAAACTCAACTCTTAAATATTAAATACTCAACTCATCTCTATAGACATTAAAAGTAAACCGTTCAATGTCCTCGAATATTACAATATGAAGAGTCATAAACTGGCTCAGCAACAGTAAAGACATATTGTTCTACAATAAATGGTAATATCGCTGATAATTCTGTCAATTTTTCTTTGAACCAATGAGAAACACAAAGATTTCACTTACATTACAAGTTAAAGCTTGTAGGACAGCGTCAAAGCCACCTTCTGGAGCATCCAGATTCCCCGATATTTCAGCTTCTTCAACTTCTTTCTAAACAAAATTGATGCTCCATAGTAGGTTTTCTCAATAGTTAAAAAAGAAAAAAATTAAGAGTTGGTTCGTTGTATTAAAAAACAGAAAGAACAAAGTGACAGTGGAAAAAACGTCGCATTTTACTAATATTGGGATTCCATCCAGTGAAAATCGAAAAAGGAACATTCATATTACGCATGACGTCACCTACTTAATTAGTTATAGCTTGCGAATATTAGAAAAAAACTGTCTAGATGTTAAATTTTAGGTAAAAACAGATGTTATGAATAATTTACTGAAAATCTAGCCGTATCCATTGTGAGACTCATCTGGTTCTTGAAACCATACGGTTGCGCACATTGTTCTGGACATGGCGATAACTGTCTGTAATCCAAGTTATGCTAAAGAATACAGTAAAATGAAACACTTAAAAAGGCCAATTAATTGGGAATTTTGATAGGTGAAAAAATGGATAAGAACACACTTATTAATAAATACACACTTACTAATAAATATTATTAATAAATAGCACAATTTATTCACGATGACTTTTACCCAATAAGTTATGAGACACAGCGCGTGAGTGTAAAAGTTATCACTTGTAGACTCACTTTTCGGGACGAGGATCCACAAATGGCATAAGTTTTTTATCAATAAATGAGCCAAATCCAAGCCTGAAGTTCTTCGTGATTGCTTTCATTCGTTCAGCTAAAAAAAAACATGCTACTAATAGGGAGTGATTATTCCGACGGAAATTAAGCCAAAGATTTATTCCGAAATGTTTCTGGGAAATATTTCACCTAACAAATCGCCTAATTCAGACAGCTTTTGCTTATCGTCTTTCATGGAATAGGATAGATCCATTAAATAATATAAGTCAACTGGATAATCCACAGCTTGTCGATAGGTTACTTGGAATCGAACACGTGCCTCTGAAAAATTGTGTATCGGAAGTGTTTCTAGAAAGTCAGTGAAAACAAGAAACATCACAGCTTCATTTTCAAAAAGAAAAAGAAAAAACGGAAATTAAAATTGGTATATGCTAATACCTCCTAAGGACTTTTTTTTCGGAAGAAACAGAAATTGCTTTCCACTATTATCAGCAGGAAATCAAAAGGCTTCTGAGCTGTCACAAAGTTCATTGGAAAAAAAAAGAAAGTGATTTACTGGGTCGTATATTGACAACCATATGCTGTGGCCGTAATTGAACTGCTTCCTCCTCACTTGCTGCATCACCGGCATTACTCAGTTCAACATTCTGAACAAAGAGAAAACTTCAATATACAAAATATAACCTCAAAAAAAACATATATAATAAAAATATAACCTATGTGAACAATACAAAAGTGATGCATTTATTTTATTTACCAGTTGATACGGTATTTAAATAGCCGATATACTGATGCAGTCCCTTGTTCAAACTATCCCCTAGTTCTTCCTCTATTACATGCTCAGGATGATCCTTGATACCTCAAAATCTGAATAACGGTTGAAGGTCCCTAATAATTAAACGAACCTCGGTTATTTTCAACGTTGTTTTAGGATTTTCAATTTCAAATTCCGGACAACCGTGTTCAATAAGTCGCTCCAAACTATCACATCGTGGATGTTGGTTTTCGTTATCAAAATCCTAGGGAAAAAGTTGATACTTTTATTATTTAAAAAAAAAGGCTCAAAAGCTCATTTAACTTATATAACTGAATTTCATTCAAAACTAACACACTCTAATTTATATGATTGAATTTCATTCAGAATTAACTTACAATAACCTCATAGCAAAATATACAATATAGTAAGCTTAGACTGATTAACAGTACAACAAGCCGAAACATACTGCTTTACTACACCAGGCGCACGTGTCGTGGAATTGGATGCACGCACTACATGTGTAATTCTCACGAGGTAAAGAATAGCACGGGAAATCTTTCTTTGATTCAACCACTTCCGATGTTACTGCAATAGAAAATTGAAGATATCAAAAATGAAAGCAAAAATATAAGCAGAAATATAAAAACAGATACAAAAAATATGTAAAGAATATAAATTAAAAAAATATACTTTGCCTTCCAAAATGAAAGCAAAATATTTCAGTTATAAAAAAAAGGCGATGCTTTGTAAATATAGAGGAAGACGATAATGGTAACTTAAAATGCTAGATAACAATGAGTAGTAAAAGACTGCAATGAAGCGACAATAAGATGCAGTATAATATATGCATATCTAACTCATTGTATTTAATACTATTTTATTTTAACGATAACGATACAGTTCAGAATGTTGGATAAGTCCGTACCCTTGACATTCATGTGCAAAATTCTTTTCATACATTTAGTGCTACTTAAGCCAACTGATGGTATAAAATTGCATGCTTTGGAGAAATAAGTTAGACCTAACACAGATTATGTGACATGTGGACAATAACTTAACTTTATGGACAGATAATCAGTCATCAGATACATTATGATCTCAGGAATTTTTGAATTCAAATTATTTACAAATTGGAACTGTTAAAAATATCGTTTTTTGGGGGTGACACTTTCAAGCTTAATCCATATTTAAATTTTTTGTAGTATGTATAGCAGTTGTTCATGGACACAAGTATTTCCAAAAATCCTATAAGTTTTTGAGTAACAATTTCCCGGAACAATTATGAAAGACAGAAAAGGAAAGTACGAATACCATCATCAGTAGTGAATTCTTGCGCCTCAGCAATAATCAAAATCGTTGTTGCGAGGCATATCATACGACACCATCTAAGCCCCGTCAACCAGCGATCCCTCATCGCGGCTAAATAGCTGCAATAAGTATTTCAGATGAAAACCAAGTCATTGCTAAGAATAGAATGTCATCGTTTCACGAAAAGCAAAATAACAATTTGTTAAGATTGGAAGCATTCGAAAAAAATTTTGCATAGTCAAAATGTTGAAAGAGTCTTACTTTAATAAGTATTAATTGTAGTTGGTGTTAAAATAATATTTTGCGGAGATGAAATTGTGTTTTGAAAAAAGTAGACTAGCAGGTGGTAAGGACTCAGGCATAATTTTCTGCAAAAAGTTCAAAAATTTAGAAGAAGCACTCAAACACGAACAAAAGATAAAAATACTTTGTATCTACCAGAGTGTTAAGAATATAGAAGAAATCCTATCCCCTTTGATACACCGCCTTAATTACTTTTTATTGTGCAGTCATCCGGAAAACAACATCTCAGATCCTTTCCTAAGCTTACTATGTCAAGTTTTACTGAACACGACGTAAAATATGTCAAAGGAGGAGTCTAGCCTTCATAATTTCATTTCACAGATTATGAATTTATGTGATCCAATCACGTCATCATGTCCCTCTGAGTGCTTTATTATAAAATTTTTGAAGGATATCAATTATGCAACAAAAGGGATGATGGTTAATGAAAAGAAATGGCCCGACGATAACTGAAGAATACGATAAGGGTAAATTAATTTTAGATTTGTTGATAACGTTTATCGGCTAACTAGTCATAATCCATAAAAGGATAGAAACGTACAAAGCTTTAAGGTCCAAAAAACTTCCAATAAAAATAATTCAAACGTTGTGATGCAACTTTTCAAGCGCTGAAAAAGTAAAGTTATTTAAAGCGATTCTGAGCAGACCAATTTTAAATTAAAGAAAACTACAATGAACGCACAGTCCATCAGGATTATTGTTGTTTGAATGAAAAATGACTAGTACCGTTAGGATTGACTACATTGATCAGTTAAGCACGCTTTGTCTCATGAGTCAGTTAAGCACGCTTTGTCTCATGAGTCAGTTAAGCAGCTTTG